GATGTAAATTTTCATGAACTCAAGATCGTTAGGAGCAGTGTGCAAGAGGTTGAAGTGGCGGGATTGTTCTGTGTGTTCTGCTGAAAGAAACCAATAAATTTTCCTTGGGAAGGCCGTAATTCAATTTAGACAGAACAGCCACTCCAAAACATCTGTACGTTGACTCTCAAGAAGTTTGTAACTTCCTTATAGTTGAATCCACATAATGTTTTCCGAAATGTAAAATGTCATGACTCATTTTCGAAAACCTCGCGACAGTGTTGAAACTCATTTAATTTGTTAAATCGCAATGTTCCCCTCGTTCGAAACATTGTAATTAAAAAAAATTAAAATACCTTCAACAGAGGACAGATAGAGTGCAAGACAAAGAAAGTAACAGAATATGTGACAGCTTGCAGTTAAGAAGGTTTTAGATTAATTGGAAGGAGTGAAGTCATCGGCAAATATTTTATCCCATTCTTGGCTAACAGATGCAATTTAAGATTTCCCTTCCTTTAATTAAAGAGCTTCCGCTTCCAATATCCTCTGCCTTCTTCATGAAACGAACGAATAGTATATATGCAGTGCTTAGCGGAAAATAAGGGGATGTTCCTAACATTCTGCTTAGGACTGAAGAAGACGTAAGGCCGAACTGTTCATAAGATGCAATATAAGGTAACGTACACAGGGAGGAAGACCATTTTAAGGTAACGACACTAACCTGAAAAGATTGAGGAATGCATGGCAAAAAATCCAAATCCAATAGTTGGTAACAGGCACGGATTCAGGCTTTGGCTCCTTCATGGACTACGCTGCTCAACATCTGACCAGGCAGCCATCTCCATACTCGCTGCCGTGAGAACCTGAAATCTCACTTAGTTCATTAATGCTTTTCAGTTACTGTTCAAGTCGTTTTAAATAATAATCATTATTGACAAGCCATTCCGCTCCAATTTTATTGAATACCGAATAAATAAATCTGTGTTACTATTACATTAGAAACAAGGAAACATCAGCTGTTACAGGGACTGAAAATACTATACCAAAGGAAAATATCACATTTTAGCTCGCAGATCGTAATTCTGTTGAGATGTAAAAAATAGGATGCGACATGTATTTATGCTTTTATAATCGTTAATCGCAGCTTCCCATGGAAATATTTTCCTTCCGCTCTGTCGATACTGCCATAACATTTGAATATTTACATTAAACTGAAAAGAAATAGGCTTTTATGTATAATTCTTTTAATTATAAATAGAATTCTCCACATTGACGTCTCTTTAGGTCTTATCTGCGACTAGCTAGCCAAAGGAGGGTGAAAAATAAGAACGAGAAAGTAGTGTCATCCTGGTTGATGGAAAAACTTTGTTATTTAAGTTTGTGTGGTCTGGAAGTAATGCAGAGGAAAACTTGGTCGTGTTTTTGTTTGTTGCTTATTCTGACTTCTGAAAACAAGTTAATTTCTTTAGTTAAATTAAGGAAGTGACTCAGCTTAGAACGCCCACTGGAGTTTTCGTACATACCTTTGCCACTGGTTTCAAGTTCTGTATGTTTCACAGTTCATAAAAAAAATAACACATCCACTTCCTCACACAAGTTTTCTCTTACCTATCAATAAATATTTAGCTATTCAGAAACTTTCAGTGTCTTTATACATCCCGGAAGTTAATTGCGGCTACCAGAAATCTCCATTATTTTTGAATTTGTAGTTCAGATGCGTCATGTTTGTGTTTAAATTCAGTATATATTTATTTATTATACACAAACTTATTATTAAAATGTTGTTGTTAAAATTAAAATTTAGGCGCTTTTCATCGTTATTACGACATGTCGTAAAATAATAAGCGCTGAAATGTAGCATCGCAATAACGATGAAAAGCGCCTAAATTTTAATTTTAACAACAACATTTTAATAATAAGTTTGTGTATAGACCGGAATATAATAAATAAATATATACTCCATTATTTTACCCTGTCTTTTACCCTGTGTCTTCTGGGTTGTAGTATCGTGTAGTCCGACAGAAGTTAGCCAACGTCAGGGCAATGACTCATCGCACCGATGATGGAGGCAGCAAGGACCTCTAAAACTCTGGTAAACTTGTACCAGACTACGCAACGCTACAACCCAGAAGACAGCCATCCCCATAAACAATGCCCATGAAATCCATTTTAACTTTATCTGTCCACATATGTCTCAGTAGCTTAAGTAGTCTCTTTGCAGGAGGTTTCTCAGCCAAAATATTGTATAAGTTTACTGTTTCCTGCATGAGTGCTATATGAATCACCAATTTGCAATCACTCTGACAGGTGAGACTTTCAAACTCTTTGGGATACGGTGTCAGAGATTAACTAATTGAGACTTAGAAATAATTAACAACGCTGCTTCAGGTAAAGATAATATTAAGCGTTGAGTGGGATGGGAATATCATGATGGTAAGCAGATAAGGATGTAGGAGAAGGCGGTATTACGATAATTAAACAATTCTTCGTCAGATTATACAATATTTGCTTCAGCATAATATTAAGTGGGATTCTTATTTTTCTGTGATTATGGGAATTTCAAAGCGCGAAATATTTATATTTTCACTTATTAGGATAATTGGGAAAATACTCCGTAGGGACAAAATATGGGGTAAACGAAAGTGGAAAATGAATGTCTCAATAAGTACGAGAAGAACTTAAACGTACTACACCAGCGTTCGCCTTGAGAGGAAACATACAAAGCACTCTTTCAAGCAGCCCAGTTCATAATTTGGTACCTCTAGACCAGCGTTTCTCAACCTTTTTGCCCTTGCGGAACCCTTGAAACAATATTCATGTCTCAGGGAACCCCTACATACAAATTATTATATATCATTATTGATATCTTTCTTTCTTGTTTATAAACTTAAAGTTCATAAGGAAAACTTAATATTTTTTTTCTGATAGTTGGTTTACGCAAAAGATTACTTACGTTTTTCTCAAGTTTATTGACAATACAAAAAAACTGAAATCGAACTACCTGTTCAAGTGACCTCATATGGAGGTTTTCATTCACACAAAAAATTAACCCATATCTGTAAACACAAAAAATAAACATAAATAACCAAAATCGTATACAACACATTTAAACAGAACGAAAACAGATAATAACTACTACAATAACTAAATCGTTTATTGACGTTGTTAAAAAGGCATAAGATAAATCAAAGTAAAATGTCATATGAACAAATATATGTATCAAGGAAATGTTATTTTTGAAGCCAATTTAAATAATAAAATTTACTTGAGTCACTCGATGATACGTGAATCCACCACGTAGAGCTCCTGTACACTGACCACTAAATGCGGTTTCACGCTGGCGCCGTATAGACGTCGCTAAATATATTTCTTATGATTATTATATTTCTAAATGACATAACAAGTTGAAGACTTTATTATAATACACAAGAATTTTCCGAGAATATGTCGTACGTGTATAGTAAAATTACGAATATGAAATTAAGCATAAAAATGACTCAAAAATACATTTACATATGATTAACCAATTTATCACTATTTCTCGCGGAACCCTTAGGTTCCGGGGAACCTCGGTTGAGAAACGATGCTCTAGACTGAGGCTAGGGTTCCACCAAAGCGTCATTAAATATGCGTGATTAGGAGGGTTTAGAAATATTTTATACCCAAAACGATAGTTACTTAAAGAGTGTAAAGGGATAGAGCGTTATAGAATAAGCTGACAATTCTTGACTAGCCGATTAATTACAATTAACTTTTTAGGCGACATTCTCCACCATCTTATTTAAGTGCATGTAGCTGACTGCGTCTTTTGTAACGGAAACAATAATTATGGATAGTGATCGAAATAAAAATGAAAGATTGTGAATTTCGGTCCGAATCATGGCAAAAGTAAAACAAAATTAATGTTAGATTAAATACTTTCGTGGTCTGTCTGTTGTGTGTCACTGTGGTGGGCGTGAAAATTCACTGGAATATACTCTAATGAACTGCGAAGTTCTGAGAGGTACAGCGTTGGAAGAGACGAGAAATACCCTTGGGATGGAAGAACTCTTGAAGAGAAATTCGGCAAAAGAAAATATTGTAGAAAGAACAGAGGCAGAAAGAAAGTAGTAAAGTAAGTAACTGGAGACAGACAGATAGACAGACGGACGGACGGCTGACTGTCTCTCTGGCTAGTTGCACGTGGGTAACGTTTTATTGGTTTTTGTTTGGGTTCTGCCGAATTTTGATGGCAGCAAGTTTCCACGCTGTTGGAGCACTTCCGCCTTCACTTTTCCTTTCTCGCTTTGCCTGTCTTTCACTTCACTTTAAGTCTCTTCTCTCACATTGTTTGGACTCATAGATACCAAGATGCAAATCCTAACTAAACTCCACACTTGAACCAGTGGTGCAGGAAAGGGAGGAAATTCGAAAGGAACCACGCCACAAGGGGATTTGCCACTCGCAACGTGTGCAAATCAAATAATAGAATTGTGTTCATTCTCTGGGTGCATCTGCAGTGAGAGAACGAAATGTTTATATCAGCTTCTTTTGTCAGTCTTCCTTTTCCGCACAACAAACAAATGCCTGCACTAATCGCACTAATACAATCACGTTCTAACAACAAAATACAGTATGATTCTGGCATAATCTCCAAGACCAGCAGAAAAGTGAATTTGTATTTTCCTGCATGTATTGGACTAGATATATTTTTACAATACATGATTTGTTACGTGGTATACCTCATTGACCATAAAGTTATCTTCTAACAGGTACAAATATATTTGAGATTCTTCTTTCTGAAGATGGAGGCGATAAGATCTTTCGAAACGTTGGTAACTACCTACAAAACCACAGGGCGTCAAAACTCAGAAGACTACAAAAAAGTAGACTGCAAATGAAAAAAATACAAAGTCACATTGCACACAACTGTTTATTTTTGTTATGTTTACTTAAACATTATCTGCAGGTATACTGCGTTCCAGTGTTTTTGGCCGCTGAACTTTGTGAATTGGAACCTCGGAGCGAGTCACTTACGAGAAGTTTGCTGGAAGGGATGGCAGCAGGCTGCGTACAGCACACTCCAAATAAAATGTCACCATGGTATGTAACACAGGAAAGTAGATTTCACTACACTACACATCACAAGAAAATTAACACCGCAGAGAGTATTAGATAATTTTATCTTCTACACAACTCTTCGGCCCTCTTCCAATTCTTCCAATCCTCACAGACCATCGCTTTCTGACATATCACTCGATTCATCACTACCGCTGCTGTTGTTCACTCCATTATCTTCAATTATAATTCGTTCAATAGCGTCTTCGATTATGCCTTCTTGTTCAGAATAAATTTGTACTAGTTTCTCCACATGCTGACATACATTATTCCATTCCTCTTACCCAATTTCTTCGAATCTTTGGCGACACAAATGCTCGACGTCCTTAATTTTAAATGTCGTGTTCTTGCTTGCAACCTATTGTTTTACATCTTCCCAAATACGTTCAATGGGTTTTAAATCGGGCTGGTACTGCGGAAGTCTCAGCAAAGGTACGTTCTTTGTCTGCTAAAATCTGATCAATCACATAATACTCGTGCTTTGACTTATTTAATTTGATTAAATCTTACAGTTGAGCTTTCAACAGGCTGTCACAAAATGGAATTTTCAATTCCTTTATCCAGGCTTTTATTTCGTAATTCTTTGATTAAGACGTCGGTGGTTTGTCTGTCTGGGTGTTGTGATACGAGGCGTTATCAATGACCAGAAAGGAGATTTCAACGAACAAGTGTCATATTGTTAACACAGCACAGTCACAAGACAACAATATCAGGCTTCTACACTGCTGTACTGACACAGACTGTACTTACCTACGGAAACTCCTTCCTGCCTTCATTGAGTGGTCCGCATACTGGGCACTCCCTACAAGGTCAACGAACATAATCGGTGGATCCAGTTCTATCGTAAAATACTTCAAACAGAGATTGTAGAACGTACTGAGTTAAATATTTTGTGTATGCACGAATGGAGAGAAGGATGAACAATTTCTGAGAAATGTGATGACGTTTAGTTTGACCTCCATGTAAAATATAAGTTAAAAATTGATCGGTATGCATCAAAATTAAATTTGCTGGACAGTTTTTATGTGGAAATCCCATTATCAAATTTTATCGATGCATTGGGTAATTTAGAAATAATGACAAGAGTACAGGCAGACGAACAAAAACAATATCATATTATGCGTTCCTTTTATACACTTTATGCACAGAACGTAAAAAACAGTTTTAAAACTCACAGCTGTGTGTATAATAATTCTGTGTAACAAAGCTTTGTCAATTTTATTTTATTTATTTTTATAATTTTATATTCCAGTCAGTGGAAATATTTATATGGATTGAGTGTGTCTGAGAATATAGTGCTGATGAATGTAGTAAAGCCAAAGACACATAAAGCAAAATATTAATAAAATAATATTATGAGGGTGTGACGTTGAATGTTCTGACGGCGGTCAAGATGTTGATGTTATGTTCTAGACTGTGACGACGTGTGGACTTGCGATCTTCGAAGTCCACACACGGCGTCACAAATTCTGGAATTAATTAATACGTGCCTAAACCACCTCATTCCCTTTATTTCAAGTTCATCATTCATAATCAGCTTTCCCTTACTAATTAAATGTTAAGAAAGTAATTTAAGCGGTAGACATGTCAACAAATAAGCCACGAACATATCAGCATCTTCAATTATATTTCAACAAAATTTGACTGATTCTTAGCTCAGTCGGTATAGTGACTGACTACGGACTGGGCAACCGGTATAGTGACTGACTACGGACTGGGCGACATGTTACGAGGAGTTTAATAATTGATTCTATAGAAACGAGATCTTAGAGAAACACGATAAGTAGATATGAATAAATTATTTGTTTTATAAATTTTGAATTCTTTAAACACAGTTATGAAATTATTAGGCTCTAAAAGTAGAAACGTTATTGAGTAGCTGAGTAGCTATCATCTGTTCCAATAACCCCTTATCAATGTTGTTAATCGATCAGTTATAGTTTCCATCTCATTAATTGTGTGCGGTAGTAATTATTTTTTTGTATAAGATTATGTTAGAAAGTTGTGTTGCAGAATATTACAAAGTTTTGTAAAGATCCCGTCTGTTAACAACAAAACATTTTCTACGTAACAAAAATCTTCTAGCTACATAATAGTTTATTGATTTCACCACAACATGGAACTACAGCCCAAGAACATGCCAGCAAATCTGGCATTTCCAGTACCTTAAGAAAACAGTTAAAACAAGTGAAATGTGTACAGATTCTACAAGTACTGAATGGATATTTAGTCACAATATCGAATTACGACTTGAGATAAGTCAAAATGAAGTATTTAGCTTATTTTAACCTCTTAAGTAAGAGCTATTTAAGTATCTGTACCTACTAGAATTATATTATTCTCCATGTGACACGATAAAAATTTATTTTTTAATTTGTTTTTAAAAGTAATTTTCACTCAGAATTGTTTACCACAATACGATTATTTGCGAGGATAACTAAAGGCCCAAAGATGGACTAAAGAAATCCGAAATATTTAGCCTGATAAAAATAAACATTAGGACATCCAGTAAATGACTGTATTGTTGTACATAAAAGAATTCATAACAATAATTTCACATAATCTTTTATATTCGCGGGCAACTCTATGTTATAATCTTAAGTGAACAAATTTTTATCTGTTGTCAGGGCACAGAACGAGGAACTAACAGCGTCTATTTAGGACGGACACATCTGCAGCCTACAGAAGCCCATAACTGTCCAGCAAGTTGATTTATCCGACCGACTATTTATTCAGCAAACTGGCTAGCTCTCTTCCATCACATGGCGCGCCCAGAACCTGACAACTGTTCAGCTTCAAGAAAACCTTACCTCCTTCACTCAGTCACTCCTTACTTCGTCACAAAGTTTAGAGATGTGATAACAGTACAGAAACGTGCAGGACCAATGGAATCTACTCATGTACCAACCTCAAATAACTTCCCAGAGTGTCTCACTTCACTAGTTTACATACTCTGCAGAAAAGTTGGGAAATCCAGTTTGTGCAGAAATCCGGCATGTTTAGCACGTTTCTGATCCTATCTTTAGTTCTAACAACTGTGCAACGTTACTAGACCTGTAAGCTTTCTTCAGAGTCTCAGTCACACCTTCTTGATATTGGTTGATTCTCAGTCAGGTTACACGATAGGACGACTGAGATTTGACTCGGTACCTCTTGAGCGCCAAAGTCTTAATGGTACAGAACTCTGTTTGGATTTCTCACTTCTTTATTAAATTTAATTCTAATGTACGTTAAGTAAGTTTATCTATACAAAGATTTAGCTTTACAATTGCATAAATCTTTATTTCTATCTAGTACCAAAAAGTCTACGTCAGTATATTGTTTTTAAGAATTAACGGAGAGATGCAATTATTACTCTTGTTGGCATTGCTTTTTTCAGGAGAGTGTTTAAATTGTAGATTATTTGACGACGGAACGCGATGTATAGCGTTATTAATGATAAAGGCACCAAGCACCTCTGAAACGTCTGTACACTTGTATAGACTACACGGTGCATGGACTCAGAAGACCGTCATTTTCATTCTGGCCGCCGTGAACCTCAAATCTCAGTTTGTTTCTCTAAGACGTTTTTACTTTCAGTCACTTCTAATTTGTGTGCCGCACTGAAAGCCATGTTGGAGTGGCGAGTAGAAAGAAAAATAAATAAAAAACTATAGCAAATTTCTCTTCACAGCTAAATACTGTTTAACTAAGACTGGGTCCACAGGGATAGGTAGTCAGTGTTCCGCAGGTTATGACCACGGAGGGTTAGTTGAAGACTGGTTGCGCCACCATGGTTATCATATACTATTTATGGTCAAAGTGGGTAATCGAGCGAGTTGGTGGCTGCGGATGTCAGGAACAGGGAGATATGATGTCCTTCGAAGTGGGTCATTGAAACAGCCTGACTTGCTGGCGATGAATTAAGAGATGTGTGTGTATAACCTGCTTTACTCAGGCAAGCATCGTCTTGCAACGTTAAATCTTTAAAGTTATATTTGCGTTAGTATTTAATTTGTATGCCTATATTTCCTATTACACTTTATTTCGTAGTTTGTTCATAAATAAATATCATTAAAGTATATATATTGTTTATTTACTTTGTTTTCACAATTTTATGTTCGTCCATTGCGGACTCACAGAACGCTTCTTTCTAGCAACCACCCTCCAAATCTATTTCCTAATATTAATTTAAATATCATTTCCATATCTATGCCTGGACCTTTCGACTGGTCTCTTTCACACGGGATTTCCAACATGAACTTTGTAAGCTTTTCTCAAAGCCCCATACGCTCTGCATTTCCCGTCCATCCTATTCCCTTTGATTTGGTTATACTAATAATACTGGGCGAAGATTACAAATTATGAAGCTCCTCAGTGTTCAGGTTTTACTCTCCTGCCACTTTAACCCTCTGTTCTCCAAATATTCTGCTCAGCACCCTGTCCCCAAATGCCCTTAATCTGTTTCCCTCCCGTAACTTGAGGTACAAAGTTTCATGTAAGATCAAAACAGGAAGTAAAATTATAGTTTTACGTTTTTAGATACCAGAAGGAAAGATAGAAGGCTCTGAACTGCATGACAACATGACTTTAAATCCAGACTACACGTCTTCTTTTTATAGCTTTCTTCAGTTTGCTTTCTCATGCTTAAAGAATACACTAGAACAAAGTAAGCTATTGCTGCCGAACGACAGGGAGCAGGTGTGTCGTGCTCCAACACACGAGGAAAAAAATGGCGCTGTGGTCACTAGTACGATGACAAGGTTATGAATTTCAGGAGCTGAATTGCGTAAGAACCGACTGCTTAACAGAAAAGATAAAATTCTCCATTTAGCTGGATGTGTGTACTTTTGTGTGCAGCATTACTTATGCCTTAATTTCGAGTTTCATGCTACACACTTATGATAACCTTGACAGTGGGTATCGTGTTGCTAGCTATTGGTTTGTTACATGTGAACGTGGAGGTGTAACGATATCTGTAGTTGTAATTCGTTCAGCTCCCTTCGTTATAGACGTTAGTTTTTCTCTGTGCCGTTTATTGTGTGTGGGTGAAAAGTGTTTTAATTTTATCTACGTGTGAGTTTTTCGTGATGGAAGCTGAAAGGAATAGCGATTCATCAAGTTTTGGAGGTTGCAACGTGTGAGGTCACCGCTTCTTGTAATAGATTCTGGGGGCGTTGGTAAGTACAGACATGTTTATCACTTTCCTCAAACAGTGTGTGTGCCCTGTACAATTTTAGACAGTTCTGAAAATTTCCGAGTCATTTCTTCTTTTAATTTATTTGAAATATAAAACACTTATATTTATAATTCATTGGTTTAACAGAAAAAAAACATACATACAAAACTGGACGTTTCAGAATATGTATTTTTCAATGATAATTTAGACACCGTAGGTTACCATACAGTGTTCATATCAGCAAATTAAACGTTATTTAACTAAAGCCTAGTGTGTTATACGGTGCCATTGTGAGCCACAAAGTTTTAACTTTGTTGGAAGAATCAACTTTTATTTAACTAAGAAACAAGAACTCTGAAAGGAGTAGAAACTATAATGGACCCAACAGAATAGGTTTCAAGCTTTTGCCCGATGACGGAACACAATCAGCTTGCAAGACGTTGTGTCCATGAAAATGTTGTCTGTATATGGAGTTAACCTTGAGAGAAGAATGTTGGATAAAACTTTGTGTTTAATTGATAACAGCGATGTTCCACGTAATTACTGCAGTCATTTTTATTTCCCGTTCTAATAAATAAATAAATACAATTAGAGATTTGTTCCACTGTTCCGAATATAAATTATGAAGAAAGATATGGGCGAAACACGCTGGTATTATTTTAACTAAACTTGTACCTTTTCTTAGGAACAGGTACCCATATTCTTTGTATCAGGCCGTTTTCTCTGTTCCAAATCTAAATTAATCTGAAATAACAAATCGTTCTGAACAGACATACGTATTTAATGAATGGAGATTTAGCCACTTACACGGCCTCTACTTTACTATAATAGGACAAGAATAAAAAGACGGAGAAGCACCGATCCCTCAAACGGAATTCGAACGTCTGGACCCGACACGCATCTAATCCATGCTTATCCGCGTCTTGAACGGATCGGGTTGTTCGTTCGATAGACGTTAAATGGGCTGGTTTTGAAGCATGAATTTATAATTTTATAAGAATTGGTGATTTGTAAGTACTTCACTTTCAGAAGGATATTATTGAAATAAACGTTTATGAAATATTTTAAATAATACACTCGTAGATTAGAACCGTCTGGCTCAGACTACGATGAATGATAGACACTGTTGTCACTTGATAACCTCAGGAAGATAAAAGCAGGTTCTCAAACTTCCGCTGTAATGTTTACTCATTGTAGAAAGCTTTAATTAATTTATTTTTTCAAACTTAACAGTTTGGGCTATTCAGGAAGATAAGCAAATGCCACAATGCTTTGTGGTATTACGGGTTACTGCTACAAAGTTGTACGTTACACGAGGTATTACTTCAGTGCAGATATTCTGCAGTATGCAGTTTTGTGTAGACTGCACTGTTACCAGCTCCTTCATGAGAATCCCCTTTTCCCCGCACAGTTATCTTATTCCTGTCCAAGGAAATCTCTCCCGTCATGTCTGCGTTTGTATAATGTGGCCTCAATCTCAGCAGTCCCAGTGGACAGCAGAAGAGAAGCTATGGTTTTCACATAAAACCACACTCGTCTGCGTCACGTGTCAGTATTTGACAACTCAGCATTATCTCTGTTGCTCAGGGACCAGCATCGGCCTAGCCCCCCAGTGTTCACGCTGCTCTGCTTTCAGCAATAGTTCGTGGGCGGAATGAAGATTTTGGCTTTTGTTTTCCAACTATGACCCTTCGGTCATTATGTTTTTGGGCGGCGCAAACACGATGGTAGGCGGGATTTGAGGTTTTCACAGCGACGTGTATGAATGTGGCTGTCTTCTGAGATGTAGCACCGTATAACCTGATATTTACCTTCGTTTCAGCGTTGTTTAATCCCCCCTGGTGATGGAATTAGTAAGCTCCTCTGAAACGTCTATCAGACTACACTGCACAACAATCCAGAAGATAATCGATTTCCTAATCGTCACTGAAAGAACCAGAAGTCTCACATATATAAAATGTCTTTACGTTGTGATCAAATTTTGTTTGAGGGGAAGTATAATTACTCATTACAGTTCTGATGCTGTTAACTGGGTTTCCGAACTTCTGAAGCTACATATTACTGATTTGTTATCACTTTTACCGAACGTTGACGTAATATGACGTTTCTGTGTTCTATATAATCTAAAAACAGTGCTAATAATTAGTGCAAAAATGCAGCATATAATCGTGTATGTGGATTATGTATTCTAATTGATCTGTCTAAAATAATAAGGTGCCGAAAGGTGAGTTTAATTTTTAATTGGCCGATTATTCCGTATTACCCATTTACACATTTGCATATGCATAACAACACATTATTTATAATTTATTTGCATGTTTATTTATATATCAGTTCGGTTGTATTTTAATTTTATTTTACACCGGCACAGGTCAAAAGACAAATTGATCTTGACGTATAAATAATTTCTCGGTCCCCAACTCATAATGAATTCTTACTTTTAGGATTAATGTATGTTTGGGGTGATACTTAAGTTTAAATTTTATGCCAAATTCATCACATTGCAGGCACATTTTACTTTATCGAACATATCGAAGAATGTGAAAAATTGGTACAATCTTGGTGTCCAACATACCGAAGTCATCCAGCATTGTCTCCACTTAAGTTTAAATTTGATACAAAAGTGCCTTTAACGAATATTGTATAGGCCTTATTTGATAAACTTTTATTAAAAATCTTATCTTTATCGCCATTCTTCGGATGGTAGCAATTCTACTTAATTTCCCAGAATGTTTATCCTCGAGCTTGGAATCTTTAGAGGTAGTGATTTCAGACGTTACAGCCTTGAGACGAATTACATTGGCACAAAATTCATACCGAATTTCACGGGCATAGGCCAACAAATTCAGAAGCTATTATGTTGCAGCATTGGTTCACAACACTGTAGTGTAGTATCCCGATTTGTTATGTTGATTCTTCGTTTTTGTTGTTCGTCATTTTTCACACGCTCAGTTCACTGTCGCGAGTTTATGCTTGGCACATCAGTTGTAAAACGCGAATAACACTCCGTGAGATTCGAGGTTCTCACGGCTGTGAGGATGACGGTGTCCGTGGCGAACAACATCGTTATGTAACACCGCATTTAAGTTATATTTTTATTAGTGAGTCTCCCTCAGGTATTCCTTACACCATTCCCTCACGTTCTTCACCGTAGACCTGCAGTTTTATAAGACTCTTCCAGCAAAACGCTATTGTTTCTTATATGGGAACTCCTGGGTTTAATTCTCGGTCCTAATTAGACTCTCACTCTATTATTATTTGTGGTTTTCTTTGGTCCCTTCAGGTGAATGCTGAGGTGGTACCCTAAGTTAGATCATGGCCGCTTTCATCCAGATCTATTTTAGTTTATCAATTACAGTCATTTTC